AAAAATATCAGTTGTTGCCAGAGGTCAGAAGGGAGTGAAGCACAGAGAATTTTAAGAGCAGAGAAACTACTCTGTATGACGTAGCCATGCATCACTTAACAACAGGGAAACATTCTGAGCAATGTACCATTAGGCAATTTCACTGCTGTGCGAACATCACAGAATGTACTTCTACCAATCTGGATGCTGTAGCCTACACATACAGCCTATTGCTCCTAGTCTACAAACCTAGGCAGCGTGTTACTACATTGAATATTGTAGGCAATTGTAACACAATAGTAAGTATATGTGTATCTGAACATATCTAAACACTGAAAAGATACAGTAAAGTTACAGTATTATAATCTTATGGGACCATCCTTGTATATGCAGTCCATGGTTGACTGAGATGTTGTTATGCAACAAGTGACTGTACCATAATGTTGGATATATGTCATTATACACTTATCCAAACCCATAAAATGTGCAACACCAACGGCGAACCCTAACGTAAACTGTGGACTTCGGGTGATAATGATGTGTCAATGTAGGTTCATTAGTTGTAATGGATGTAGCATTCTAGAGGGGAATGTTGATCATAGGGGAGGCTATACATGTCTCAGGGCAGGGGGCATATGGGAAATCTCTATACCTTCCACTCAATTTTTCTGTGATCTTAAATCTGCTCTAAAAAATAAAGATTTTATTTTTAAAAACTTAACTACATGTGGACAAAACTTGTGAAATAATATGAAGAAATAACTATTAGAGAGCTGGGATTATGTCATGATTTAGAAAACAGACTTTTTGTTGATTTAGCGAAAAGAAAACATTTAATTCTACTGTCAAGATGGGAGCTTAAGAGAATGGGCAAAGTGATGACAAAAAGAAAACCTGATAACTAAGTCTGGCATTCGCTTCAATCAAGAAATTTTATATGCCTCCCATTGTTATCATTAATAAGAGCTAATACTAATATATTATTTCCCATATGCTGAGTCCTTAAAACAAAAATTAGACCTCACCTATGATTAAAATCCACTTTGCATGTATCTTTTCTTTCCTTCCCGTCAGAAATGGATAAAATGAGAGTATGCCAGTGCATATGGAGAAAACAAGAGACATAGCAAAATAAAGGTATTTTTCTGCTTTCACTGTCTAAGGATACAAGAGAAATACATAAGATGACTCCCGCCCTCAAGGCCCTTAGAACTTAGCTGGGGAAACTGTACCTGAAATAATTGGCAGTAAAAGATATTGTTTCCTGTTGCCTCAAAGTGCAATAAAATATGTTAAAAAGAGAACAAATACATGAAAACAACTTTACCAGTGTTCCTCAACAGAAGTGTTGTTAGAATTAGTGACAGGACATTTCTTTCATTGTGCGGAACTCTCTCATGCATTGTAAGATTGCTTACATCCCTGACCCCTGTCCTTTGAATGCCAGGTGTTCCCAGTCATTGTGTCAAACAAAACTAAATTTAATTTCAAATGCCTCTCACATTTATTTACAAATTAAGACTCTTTAGACCAAACATTTTCAAACTCTAGTGTTCGAAAGAATCTTAGGTGCTTCGGTGCATCCTGTTCAACTTATCAATATTGAAAACCCTAGTAAAAATAATAATGATAACCTATGTATCCAAAACCCTTAGACATCTTTGATTCCTCTCTTCTCTCATCTTCCACATTAGATCAAGCAACACTGCTCTGTCTGCTCTACCTTTAAAACCCCATTCACAGTACAACCACTTCTGTCTACCATACCACGTTGTCCAAGCTCCCATCATCCCTCACCTGGATTATTGCAGTAGCTTCTTGTTGTGGACTGAATGTCTATTTCTCCCCAAAATTCATACATGAAGCCCTAACCTGCAATGTGCTGGTATTTGGAGATGGGGCCTTTGGGAGGTGATTAGAGTTAGATGAGGTCATGAGGGTAGAGCCCTGGTACAATGGATCAGTGTCCTTATTAGAAGACTCACAAGAGAGCGCTCTCTCTTTCTTCCTCTCTCCCTCTCCCTCTACTCATTACTTCCCCAACCCATGCATACTCATCAAGGGAAGGCCATATGAACACATGGTAAGATGGTGGCTACGTTTAAGCTAAGAGAAGAGGCCTCCCAATGAAACTTACCTTGCTGGTACTTTGATTTTGTACTTCACGGCCTCCAAAACCATGAGAAATAAATGTCTGTTGTTTAAGACACCCAGCCTGTGCTATTCTGTTTTGGCAGCCTGAGCCAACTAGTACCCTTCCCGACTAGTTGCTTGGTGTCCCCTTTGCCTTGTTCAGCCCATTCTCAGAATCGTGCTGAGAGTGATCCTGGTGAAAATGCAAGTCAGATTACATCATGTTCTCCTCAGAACACACCCATGACTTCTTCTTTTCTCATGAACATTACAGAAAAGTTTTTACATAACCCTTATGACTTGGGCCATGTGAACTTTTTGGCATGGTCTTTTAATACCCTTCCCGGACTCCTCACCCAGAACACAGGCTTGCTGGTCCTCTGGTGTGCCAGGTCTGCTATCTCTGCAGGCTCTTTGTACAGTCTGTTCTGTCTCTGGAGAGCTCCTCGCCTGCTCCCTCGACCATGGATTTCTTTACTCAGATTTCCATGGTCACCTTAGCTAGTGCCAATGCCCTTTCTCTCACACATCCACTTCCTATCTCCTTCCTTTAATTTACTTTTCTCCTTGTCCTGCGCTGCTTTTTTTCTTTCCATAGCACATCATACATTTTACTTGTTTATCTTGTTTATTGTTAGCTCATCCTCCCCATGAGAAAATCAGCTCCATCAGGACAGGGGTTTTCTTTTCCATGTTGTTCATTGCTGTTTTCCCATATCTGAAAAAGTTTCTCAATTTTTTTTTCATTATTGCTCCCCTAGGACTTTTTCAGGCATCTTTTTTCCTAATCATCCCCAGATGAAATTTTAATACCACAGATAGGCTGTATACATGGTTATGTTTGGGGGGCCACAAACCATTTCAACATCTAACATTTTTCACCCTCAATAACTAGTATTTTCTCCTTTGGCATATTATCACCAAATTGAGGGTATAAGATCGAGAATAAGACCTTGGATGTAGCACATGGTAAATTATATGTTGAATAAATGAATGATTTAAATAATAGGTATACATCAAATTTATCACTGAATACCATAAACATGTTAACTTATGCAATATAAAATAACTTCATGCAAATTTCAGTTTTTCCTGTTGCTTCTGTTTAATAGAAAATTCTGAGATTGAGGCCCAGTGCGGTGGCTCATGCCTGTAATCCCAGCACTTCGGGAGGCCTAGGCGGGTAGATCACCTGAGGTCAGGAATTCAAGACCAGCCTGGCCAACATGGTAAAACCCTGTCTCTACAAAAATACAAAAATTAGCCAGGCATGGTGGCGGTGGCGCGTGCCTGTAATCCCAGCTACTCAGGAGGCTGAGGCGGAAGAATTGCTTGAACCCAGGAGGCGGAGGTTGCAGTGAGCTGAAATCCAACCTGGGTGACAGAGCGAGACTCTGTTTCAAAAAAAAAAAAAAGAAAGAAAGAAAATTCTGATATTGAAAGGTGAGCTGCTAAAAATTGTTAATATTTACAACTATTTGACTATATGAATCATAGTCTATTTTATTTATTTATTTTTTTGAGAAAGAATCTGGCTCTGTCGCCCAGACTGGAGTGCAGTGGCGCGATCTCAGCTCACAGCAACCTCTGCCTCATGGGTTCAAGCAATTCTCCTGCCTCAGCCTCCTCAGTAGCTGGGATTACAGGCATTGAAAAGATATAGCAAAGTTACAGTATTATACTTTTATGGGACCATCCTTGTATATGGAGTCCACGGTTGACTGAGATGTTAGGCAACAAATGATTGTACCATAATGTTGGATATATGGTGCCGCCACCATGTCTACCCAGCTAATTTTTATATTTTTAGTAGAGACGGGGTTTCACCATGTTAGTCAGGCTGGTCTCGAACTGCTGACCTCGTGATCTGCCCACCTCGGCATCCCAAAGTGCTGGCATTACAGGCGTGAGCCACTGCGCCCGATGAATCATAGTCTTTTAAAATATTAAGTAATCATGATAAAATATGACATAAATTTCATTTTGAGGCTAAATATAAGACCACTATACTTATCTATATACCTTGATTTCAAACTTTTTATTAACTGCAACATTAAGTCTCACTAGCTTGGTAATTAAACTCTATAAATTCAAATTTGTATCTATAAGATTTTGCATGACCACATTACTTAAAACTTTAAAAAGCATTGCATTCAACTGCCTGCTCCCAGAGGCAAGAGGGACTGTGATTATCTGTCTTCATAGCTCCACTGCCTTGTTGAGTACCTGGCACATAATGTGCACCTAATAAAGACTGTTTAAATGGATGTAGGCTGACTCTATTCAGGAGAAATTTATGAATAAAGGTAGAACTTGAATAGAGACTAAAAGCTATACTGAATTTACATAGAGGAAACATTTCTTACTTGAGAGAACATCAGGAGGAAGGACTGTCAATTGTACATTTGGGAACACAGAGAAATCATCTTAGGTGTATAAAAGAAATTCAATTATGAAAAGCCTTAAAAACATATCTGAGGAGTTTGGACTAAAAGCAAAAAGAAACGATTATAGGAATTTTTGAAGTAGAATGACATCATGAAAGTTGTCTTTTAGGAAAAGTCACCTGGCAACAGTATGAAAGGTGAATTAGAAGGAGGAGAGAATGAGAGGATGTAGATTAGTTAAGAAAACATCAGTTATTGGATGTGAATTAAAGAGATGAGTGTTGTAATAGGGAAGGGTGGAACGACTGAGGCAACTTTCAGAAAACAAGGTAGAGCCATTTTCTCATTAAGAGCCTTTGGCTGCAAGTAACAGAAATGAGATTAAACAACAAGAAAAAATACTGGGTCCCACTGCTGGATATCCAAAGGTAGTGCCCTTTCAGAGACAGGCTTACTCCGGTTTTCTTCTAGCTCCATTTTTCCAAGATTCATTTGACTCAGTGCTTCTCTATTTGTCAGCCTCATGCTCTAGGTAGCATGAACCTAGTGACCTCAGTTCCATCACATCCACACATGAACATATCCTGAGAAAAAGCAAGAAAAAGCATAGAGAGAGAATTACTCCTGAAATCTCTTTCAGAAGAGCAATAAAGAATTTCCCTAGACTCACTAACAAATCTTTTCTTGCATCTCAGGGACATAAACTGGTTTGCATGCCAATTGCTAAAGCAATGTGGCACGAGGAAAGAGGATTCTCCTTGGACCGTTCTAGTGCCTTCTTGGGCTTGGGAGAGAGTTTGACCTCTAAGTCACATGGGCTGCCTAGGGGAAGATTTGGATACTGTACCAAGATTGGAGTTTAAGAGAAGAGGAAAGTGGTAAGAGATGCTGGGTGTGCAGCCAACAATGCAATGAAGAAGAGAACAGAATTTAAGATGATTCCTCGTTTCTAATTATTCAGTGGTATGACACGTAAGAGAGACCAGTTTGAGGGTCAGAGATGAATTTAACTCCATTTTTAGAGAGATAGTATTAAACTGCAAAATGCTACTCAAAGATACTGTGGCTTCCTTATTAGTAGTTGGATAGGCAGTGAAGAATGACCCTGAGCCCTAAGGGATATCTCAGAGCTGCAAACAGAAATTTAGATGTCATCCATATGGAAGTGAATGAGCTCCCCAGAGAGTGGTTATAGAAAAAGGACCCATGATGAGTCCTAGCCTCAGATGGGAGGAAGGAGGAAAATCAGATGTTAGGAGATTAAAGAAAACAAAGAGCTGTCAGAGAGAGATCGAAGGACTAGTAAATGTGATATAATCACAGAAGTTGAAAGGAAAAAAAAATTCATGATGAAGATATCAAATGTTACCTAAAGCTTATGAAGAAAGAGAGCTGACAAAGCCAAGTTTGGGGCTTTAAGGGAACAAGATGTATATAAGGAAGTTATTTAAAGATTCATGAAAGATTTCCAAAGAGCAGCAAAGACTGAATTGAAATTCTCAGCATAAATCTGCAATAGGCCAGGTCAACTGAGTCCCTTTCACAATCCAGTATGGCTCCTGCATAAGAAAATAAAAAAAGAATGATTTGATCATTAAAGATGTATAATTGGGTTTGGAAAAAGATAAAGAGGTGAGAGAATTTAGAGTCCTGATAAAGCAATATGAAATCATTAAGTATGGAACTTACACTGTAGAGGGAATCCTCAGCCAAAGGATGAGAATGGACTGAAACTCATCTTTTGGTTCTGTTTCATTGGATTTGCAATATGATATAGCAGACTTACTAGCTTAAGGTCTTGGTTTGAGTTCCCTTGAAAGCACAGCTTAAAATAAAGACCTGGGTACAGGTAGTTTATTAGGGAGGCAAGGCTAGGAAAAAGAATATGAGGAGTAAGACAAGGAAGTGATAAAAACTGATAAAGTGTGTTATTGATTTCAGCCAGCTGTTGCAGACAGTTCAAAGTCTGCAGTGTAGTTACCAGAATCCCACCTCAAGCTCATGTGATGATGTCTCTGTTTCTCTGCCACAAAGCTTTCTTTAAAGCTCAGTAACAACACAGCCTGAAATTGCAGAGGTGTTAACAACTCTAGGCAACCCTCAACCAGTGGGAGAAGGCAGGGTGAATAAGGGTCTGCTGTACCAGCCAGTTACCATTGTAGGCAACTGAGACTCAGTCTCTCTTGGGACACACAGAGGAATTGTGAAGAATGCCCTCGGAATGGTCCCATCCAATAACAGGGAGGTTGAACCCTGGTTGAAGGTTCCCCCCAGGTGATAACAATGGCACAATCCCAACTTACACCTGCACAGGTGTTTCAGAGAAAGCCCCAAGGCAAAAAGCAAAGAGCAACTACCACATGTATTGGGAGTGAGACACTAGTAATTGCATGCCACTGTCACCACAGCTGTCCATCACAGCTGCCCAAAACAGCTGCTCAGAAATCAGTAGCCCAAGAAGCTGTGACATGGGCATCACACACAGCTGCTACACCAAGGTTTCTCCACTACAACACTACTGGCATTTTGGACTAGATAATTATTTGTCATGGGGGCTAGCATGTGTCTTGTAGGATGTTAACCAGCACCCCTGGACTTTCCCGACTAAATGCCAGCTGCCTCCTGTCCAGTTGTGACAAGAAAAAATGTCTCTAGACATGGCCAAGTGTCCCTAGGGAGGCAAAAATCACACCAAGTTGAGAACCGCTGCGCAACGCTGTGTAACCATGAGCAAGTTGCTTTACTTCTCTAAATCTGTTTCTTTTTTTCTTTTCTTTTTTTTTTTTTTTTGAGACGGAGTCTTGCTCTGTTGCCCAGGCTGGAGTCCAGTGGTGCCATCTCGGCTCACTGCAATCTCTGCCTCCCGGGTTCAAGCTATTCTCCTGCCTCAGCCTCCCAAGTAGCTGGGATGACAGGTGTGCACCACCACACCTAGCTAATTTTTGTATTTTTAGTAGAAACAGGGTTGCACCAGTTGGTCTTGAACTCCTGACCTCAGTTGATCTGCCCACCTCGGCCTCTCAAAGTGCTGGGATTACAGGTGTGAGCCACTGTGCCTGGCCCTCTAAATCTTTTTCTTATCTATAAAATGAGGATAATAATAATACTGACTTCATAGGCTTTGGAAGATGACTAAATGAATTGGTGAACATTAAGCAGTTATCAGAGTAAATGGACACTTAGCACATAGTATGTGTGTAATAATAAGGTAATAATAATAATGGCAGTACTGTAAAAAAAAACTCTGATTTTATAGTGATATATTTTTATGGCTAGAATTCAAGGTTTAATTTCCTCTTCCTTGATTAAAATAATAAAATAAGGTACTCATTAGGAATAAAAATAAGGTACATATTCCTAATATCTATTTCAGCAAATGAATCAAAGGCTGAATCTCAATGTGAATAAATCAAAATGAAAGTTTGACATCAGTCACTTTTGATCTTCTTTCATTACCAAACACCAGTTAATGCACTTAAGTTAAACAGGACCACGTGTCATTTTGTTGTAGCTAAGTGAATTCGCAGTGTGAAGGAGATAAAAAGAACTCTGCTTAAAAAGTAAATAGAACATTTGAATGCTGTGTATTTCAGAATAATCTTGCAGAGTTTACACCTCAGTATTTTATAAAATGCAGATTTAAAATGTACATTTAGTAAAACAAATTTTTTAGCAGCATAGTCTGCAATCTCAGACTTAAAGACATGAATATTTTAGGTTTATTAGCATAAATTGAATACCAGCATGCAAACACTGAAATGAATTTAAGGAAATTGTTAATGATTCATTACATAGAGTAATTAGATTTTTGTATGATTGGAGTAAATGCATTCGCAAAAACAATTACGCACTGATACAGTGAAAAACCACTCTCAGGAAAGAAGTCAGTGGTGTAATAAAAAGGACATTTTTGCAGGGCTCCTCCTGCACTTTCTTGACTGAATCACAAACAGCTGTTGCCATCTGCCAGGGTGAGCCCTTGGCAGAAAGGCATGACAAACCTCTGCCAAACCCTGGTCTGTTGAAAGTGTCTACCCCAGAACTCTCAGAAACTGAGTATCCTTAAGAGATAGTGAATGAATCTCCAGTGAAACTGGCTTATGTCATTTTTAAGGGATTGTAGGGGAAAAGCTAACGAGATAAGCAGAAGAAGTACATTCGTGGAGAATTGCCGGTGTGGCTCTGCTTCTATTACTTTAAATCTTTTAGAGGGTATATGCTTTTGCCTACAATGGAATCATTGTTCAAACTTATTGTATGGTGTTGTAACTACTTCTTAATGTGTATTAAACTGCTAGTACAAGTGCCAAGACATTGTCATCTTTGTGTCTCCAAGACCTAGCACAGAAGAGGCACTCAGTGAGTAAATGAATGAATAAAAGTATTGGTCCAGGCCAGGTGCAGTGGCTAACACCTGTTAATCCCAACACTTTTGGGGGCCAAGGCAGGTGGATCACCTGGGGTCAGGAGTTCGAGACCAGCCTGGCCAACATGGTGAAACCCTGTCTCTACTAAAAATACAAAAACTAGCCTGGTGCGGTGGCTCACGCCTGTAATCCCAGCTACTTGTGAGGCTGAGACAAGGGAATTGCTTGAACCCAGAGGCAGAGGTTGCAGTGGGCTGAGATTGTGCCACTGCACTCCAGCCTGGGCAACAGAAGGAGACTCTGTCTCAAAAAAAAAAAAAAAAAAAAAAAAAAACCATATATATATCCAGCTTACCACGACTGCTGCACCAGACTCCAAGATCAGTTGTGAATTTCAAATACCAATCTCAGCCTTCACAGGGTTATCTTAAGTACTGTACCTCAGAACCACTGAATCTTCTCATCATGTGTCAGCCTTCCTAGAATAGACACAGTCTGAAGCAGCAGGAAATGAGGCAATGAGAGCCATGTGACATAGGCCACATCTACACCCCTGAAGAAAAGAAGTTAGGCAATCTTCTAGATCATTGAGACAGAAAGAGATGTTTGCCAGGAAATGCCAGATAACTCAGGCAAAGTGCTTTTTTTTCTGCTTGAATTAATAGTATAATTGCCTCAGTTCTCCATTTGTCTATTTTTGTTCAGACATAGCTTCAGATCAAATCATTTGCAGCAAAGAGTCCTAGGGGAATAAAAGAAAAGGAGCCCAGAGACAAAGGAGGAAGCTTCCAAACTAGTTCAACTGTGTCACAGAACAGCCTGAATGCATCCAGGTGGCAGTATGGAAATTAGGAAGCGAAACTGGATCTATGCAAATGATGAGGAAATGCTTATTTGAATTTCACAAATAAGAGCATTAGCTATTTTCACAATGTGAAGCATTTGATTTTACCTTAATGTATCAATGTTTCAAAGGCAGGTCCTTGTAGATCAATTGCTTCTATTTCTTTTCTGTGGATGTTGACTGCAAAGAGGCTTTTCTGTAAGAATTCAATTTAAAAAAGCTTAAAAGCAATAGTGGTGGAGACGAAACGGTTTTAAAAACTAAACTTAAATAATAATACTGTCTCCTAGGAAGTGATTTTGAATAACAATTAAAAAAATCAAATTAAGTCCAGTAGAGTCTCACATTGATGTTATCTCTGAAGCCCCAGCTCTGAGATCACGCTAGAGATGGAATCATGTATGAACAAGCATCTTCTGGGGCTGTCTTTATCATTCTCTGTTATATTTTATTCAAGGCAATGTATTTGCTATTGCTCTAGCCATCTTTATAGCTTCAAGTTTCAGATTATGAGTGATCACAACAGAGTTCTAAAATCTGACAGAAAAGTAAGCAGACACCATATAAATTAAAATGCAATTAGATGTAAGAAAGTTTTGTAAATTGCAACACACCATGCAAATCTGTTATTATGGTACAGAAGGCTCATTGAAGCCTGCTTTTCTTTTTTTCCTTTTAATAAAATGATGTGACTAATTATGAAGATAAAACCTCATTAAATCTTTTAACCTGATTTTCCTTTCTAATTATTGGAAGCTTATATATTGTCTGCGAGTAAATTTCTTTTCTGAAACTAAAACTAGCCTCTCCCAGCTTTGATTGGATTTCACAGGGCCCACTGTGATACATCACCTCTGGAACTGTTTGACTCAAAGGAAGATAGGATTAGTCTACCTGTATTATAGGAATTCACCATGGAAACCACAGAACAGGCACAAAAAATTAGTAAAAGAAAAGCAAATCAAAATCACCATGACTATTGAACACAGGTAGTTAAAATTACAGTAAGAGTTCCCACTACGTAGTTGGGATTCTATTCCTGAGCCTTGAAAAGAACTCACAGACTTTCTTTGAGTAAGACTTGGGGCATACAATGAAATGACTTTTATCTTAAGCTAAATGACCTGCATGATAATTTTATTTTCCTTTAGAATTAATTCTTTTTTTTTTTTTTTACAGGCTTAACAGTTTAAAGGCAATTTGAAAAATTGATATAAACCTAAACATAAAATGGTAAATGCTCACACATGAAAAAAATTAGCTCCAGAAGTCGTATCAATAAGACCATTGTGAATGACATTGTACACCAAATTGTCAATGATATTCTTTGTTTCAAGTTTCTTTTTCATTCTTTAGGACTTTTTTTGTTTTTCCTTCAACGTTTGCTGCATTGGGAGAGGCAAAGGTGTGCTTTTAGACATCATCAGGTTAAATAACTTTAATTTTAAACTTTTTGAACGACTGATCTCCAAACTTTTCATTGTGTCTCCCTTTATTTTAAAAAGAGAGATCCCTGATAGATCTATATCCACACATTTTAAAACAGAGATATTTTAAAGATGTTTTACAAAAAGTATTAATCCTAAGATCATCAATCCCATGTCTCGGATATTTTTCATAATTACCTTTGATGGGCTTAACAATAACACGTGCTATGCAGCCATTGCTTTGTTATTTGTTTTCTTTTACTTCACCATGCCCTGGGGCTTTAATCACCTCTTAAATTGCTTCTAGATGCCTGTGTTGCCATCCTGAGTCCCACCTGGGAGATTCTCATACTTCGAACACACAATGATTCCCTTGGCAGCAATTTGGTCTCAGTAGAAGTCAGTTTTCCTAAGTAAGATCTAGTCAAATTCCATTTGAACAAAATTTAGTGGATTAATCAAATTCTCTTGACTATAATTTTATAGAATTTAGTGTTTTATAAAATGAGTGGCCTATTATTACATACTTAAATTTCTTTATACAGAAATTCAATATTGCTCTAGTAATGTGTACTTGATAATATCTATATCATTCTTACCAGTTTCTTTTTTTTTTTTTTATTAATAAACAAAAAAGATCAAAGAACCCACCATTGTATTGATACTGGTGCCACAGTTCTAGACAAAGAAAATATTCTTAAATGTTTCTAAAAGAAAACACTTTTAAGATGGGTATTAAGGAGGACCAGAATCGAAACATTATCTTCTTTGCGATGGTTGTTACTATTAGTTGAAACACTTTAAATCACACTTAATAAAATAAATTCATTGTTCACCATTTATACAATGTTACATGCCATTACCATAGGAAATAGTATGGGGAAATTGTATTTCAAAATGATTCCAAGTGATCTCCCTCTCTCTCTTTCTCTCTCTCTCACACATACACACACACTCACATAGACACATACACACACACTCACATGGGGAAATTATATTTCAAAATGATTCCAAGTGATCTCCCTCTCTCTCTTTCTCTCTCTCTCACACATACACACACACTCACATAGTCACACTGTTCATGACTTTTTCCCAGAGCCAAGCTAAGAGGCTATAGTAGGCTGGTGGTCCTACAATTAAAAGTTATCTTAGTAAGTGAAAAGGACTGGAATGAGAACTTTCATTCACGTCTGACTCAACCTCTAATTCCTGTTGTGAAAATGTATATAATGTATTTTTTTATCCAATAAAAATTTTTAGAATCATGCAAATATTACAATGTTAGCTATATCTCACCTCCCTTTCCTTTCTGTGGATAACCAAGAGTTGGAAAGTATATGCTATTTTTGACCATATTTCTGATTAAGTTTAGTTGGTCATATTAGCCAACAATTCAACTAATACTTTTCGATACTTAGTCCTTTAATTTAGTGAATTATTTTCCCTTTAAAGTTTTAGTAACAACTGAATGAGGTGGGTATAGCAGGGGGGCTTAGATGTCACTCTTATAATGAAAGCAAGATCATTCTTTCAAATGTTCAAATGTGCCTATTCTTAGGTTTTATTCTAACTAATTTAATAACATTAAAAATTAATCTTCTCTACTCTTTAGAAAAGTGAAAATTTTAGACAAGTGATTGGAGAAAAGATTTATGTGCATATTTAATTATTTAATTATTTATGTCGGTCACTGCCACTAAAGCTGCAAATCAGAGAAGATGAGGTTTGGTGCCTAGTGACAGTGATGAGGCATTTGCAAATCTGTAATGAGTGCTGTAAAACACAGGTATTACCCAACATCTTAATCATAAGCAATTTCCTAGGGCAAAGGGAAGCCATCTTGATAAGGGTACATGGTGTATTTCACAGGCCTTTTGCCACAGCCTGTTTCATAATTTATTACACCAGCTTTGTTAATAACATACCAAATATTTCCCTCCCTCCTTGCTAATCAACTTCTGCTGACTTATGAAGAAATAATCAAGGGAGATATCTCATTTCTTCAATTTCATCTGCTCCTCACCTTCCTCCTCCTCCAGCTTACCACCTCTTCCAAGATCCTGCTGATACCTAACTACTGGCCTCCTTAGTCAAACTCAGAAAGCTGTCCTTGAGGTACAGTTAATTGTTCCATTGGGCGGCCTACCCAAGTCCAAAAACACCCTCATCTACACAGTGGTCATACCTGAAATTCCAGAATGATCTTTGGTAGCATTTTCTCCCTCCAAAAACCTTTTGGAGACTTTAGCAAATTTCTTAGAGGGAAGACATCTAGATTGGAGTAACCAACCAGGGATTAAAAGGCAGAAGTAGAAAATCTGGATTAGAAAGATTATAGTTGCTGACTGCCACATGACTGAATTCTCAGCTGTTCCTAAGTAAATGGTGATAAGAACGGTCATAAAGATGAATCATTTCTGACCATGAAGTGGGTGCTGTCTTTATTGGCAGCCAGACACTTGTATAATTCTTTCCCTCCTCCCTTCCTCCACATTCCTATTTAAGAAAGAAAACATCTGAGAGGATGGACTGGGGGAGGGGCAGAGATGGGACTAGGTATGAAAAAGCTGTAAACTTCACGTTCTCGTTCCAGCTGTCAGTTTTCTGTGTTTCTGTCGTCTTGCCCCAAACACTTCTCTATTTAACTGTAAGGTCAAATGAACTGGAACATCCTCTGGAGGATCTTACCTGCATCCCAGGACCTCTCTAGTAATAGAAAACTACTTCATTATCATGCAAAATAAGAAGCAGTAAAAAAGTAGTCAGCCTATATACCTTTAACTTAAACTTTGTCACTTTTAGGGGCTTTGCAACACCTCCTCCAGCTGCCTGCTAGATTTCGTCTGATTGTTGTAGTAGTAGTTGTTCATCAAAAGAGAGGAAGATCATACTCCATATTCATTATTCATAGAAAACAATCATGGGGTGGTCTATTTGGAGCTCAAAATTGTCACTCTGTGGAATAGGGAAGAGGGATCACCTCACGCCAAGATCCTGAATCCAAGCAAGAGATGATGGTGTGCCCAGTAATTCCAAGGACGGCATGATGGGCTGCATGACTCTGTCTCTAATTATCCCAATTCATTTTGGCTGTTCATTCTGTCAGGAATTTTTGACAGAAAACCAACGCATCAGAGATAAGACGGAACGAATTAATTCTGGTCCTTTAAGCCTAAAATATTAACATAGCAACCAATCTGATGGAGAGGACGCAGTGGAGGGGGAGGGGATGATATCACAGCTGCACAATTGCATGTTGTAATCACTGCTGTTATCTTCTGTGCTTTATATTCAATAGTTCTCTGATAGTTCTCTGTGCTGAGCACTGCATATTGATTTGGAGAAAAGTAAATGAGGTTCTGAATACATAAAGCCTTTCTGATATACTTAGAACAATTCATTCCCCTTTTTATTCTTCTCTGATTTATTTTCTAACTTCAAAGTTCATGTGAATCCCTTATTTTTAACTTTTTTTTTTTTACATAATTTGTTAGGCAGGATAATTGTTTGATGGAGTAAACATGCCAAAAAAATTAAAATTAAATTAGAAATGAATTTTTTCCTAACAAGAATCCAGTTCAAACAGATTTAAAGGTTCTAACATGGTGTGCGAAATATTTATGAAGATCTTCCTACTTAGACATCTAGAAGGTACAAGAGGGAAGTGATTATGTTAAAAAGGGAGCGTTCTGATACCAACACAAGTCCCTTCAGTTGCAGTAAACCTCAATGTTCTCTGATAAGAGATTTCAGGTGTGGATATGCCTGGAGACAGTGAGGGTTCTTGCCGGCTGCTTACTCACGCTCCCTGACAATTCTGCTCCGGTGCCAGACAAGAGGCTGGGTGGTAGGGAGTATTTGTCTTACTGAGGTATTGGGTGCACCAGCTCTCCATAAAGAGAGCTAAAGACCAGGAGCACCTGTCTTGGGGAGTTCCTCTTGTGCTCAGCCCTTCCAATCTGGGAGGATACGATGAGTGACTGAATGTGCCTGAGCTTAAAAAGAGCAACTAAAGGGCTAAGTGCTCTCCTCTGAGATGATAGGTAGCTCCCATTTATTGAGTGCCAAATATGCCAAGCATGACATAAGAAGCTCATTCAATCCTTTAGCAAGTCTTTGAGGCCCATTATATGATTATTGTCATTTTTAGCGATCAGGATACTGAGGCTTGGGAAGGTGAAGTCACTGGCTCAAGCTCCCATGGCTGGAAAGAAGTAATGTTCTAACTCATGCTCTTCCCTAGGCGTAACCACTGCTGCTCTTGACTGCTCACCAGGCTGCGTCCAAACGTGCTGTCGTGTGCTGAGAAGGCAAACCGTATCTCCTGGGATGACCCCAGCATTTGTGGTCAAAGGCCTTCCTTGGCCACTTTCAGGTATGTGATCAGTATGTCAAACTGTTCCTTCACCCCCTGCTGGCAAAATGGGGAAAATTAGACTTATTGGGAAGGACCAGTATAAGAATTAAATCTGTTTTCCAAGCAGATTACTTGGTATAGAATCAGTGTTCAATGTTTGTCGCATCTAATTCTTATATAATAAATACATGTATATTTGATAACAAAAATATATGTATATTTTATATAGCTTCACATTAAATAGCAACTTGATAACATCTCATTTCATCTTTAACAGCAACTTGATAAAATTCAGGGTTGAATTTGAGAGTTTAATTCTTCATTTTATCTTATCTTATACATAGATACCCATGCATCTGCTTCCAAATTTAGAGCTCAGATTCTCAGCTTAAACATCCACGCATACGTTGAGGAAGATACGAGCACCTGGCTCGGAGCCCCCACAGCAGGAAACTGGTGGACAGGTGGTTGAACTGAATCTCGGGCTTGGCAGTGAACTATGCTACACCCATTTCCTGCTATGACATCTTGTCCACACATGGTTCCTGCTCTTAACTGTTGGGGGTTCCTCCCACTTACAGCCCACAGCACTTTACCATACTCACCTGAAGATGGAGAAAGTGCCACTGGCTGTGTAGCTGGATAGGAAGATAAATTGTATAGGGCAACCGGAAAAAAAAGAGGCAAGAGTTGAGGAGAGAGAAGAGGTGCAGCGTGGGCCAGAGACAACCTTGGCTTCCCAGATGTAGTGTGTGCCTTTGGATACATAGGGTGACGTATGCTTGTGTGATGCGAGATAGGGGACCTTGAGAATATCGCCAGCCTTGGTGACACTAGAAAAAGCTGCACACAACAGCAGATCTCAAGACCTTTGCACATGCTCTGCCTGAGATGCTCTTGCTCGAGGCTACTCAACTGGTGTCTCCTCCTTGAGACTCTTTTCTGACTTTTCTACTTAAAATAGTCACCATCATTCCCATGATATTGTGTCATCTTCATAGCACCTATTATGATCTGAAATTAAATTATATATTGAGTTACTTGTTTTCTGGTTTATCTTCCCCTTCTAAAATGTAAGCTCCTGACTACCATCCCCGCAATGCCCAGAA